CCCCCCGCGTTCCTTCTGATTCTTCACTTCCACATCTTCTTGAGGGACACGCTCTTGTCCTGGTCTTTTTTCATTATTTTCGCCACAGCGAGCTCAAAGTCTTCCTGCGTGATGTGCACGCGACGCTCCCTTAGAGCAAACATGCCTGCTTCGGTGCACACAGCCTTGATCTCGGCGCCCGAGCAGTGATTAGTCTTTTCTGCGATGGTCTTGAGGTTAATCCCACGAGTTAGGTTCATCTTCCGCGAGTGGATCTTCAGAATCTCCAGTCGCGCCGCCTCGTCAGGGGCGGGGAACTCAATCTTACGGTCGATGCGGCCTGGGCGCAGAAGCGCCTCGTCCAGAATGTCCATTCGGTTTGTCGCCATGATCACCTTAATGGACTGTGTCGACTCAAAGCCGTCAAGCTGGTTCAGTAGCTCCAGCATGGTGCGTTGCACCTCGCTATCACCGCCATGGCCCGTGTTCTCCAGACGCGAAGAACCAATAGAGTCGATCTCGTCCATGAATATAATTGACGGACTGTGCTCCCGCGCCATGACGAAGAGCTCCCGAACGAGGCGGGCACCCTCACCAATGTACTTCTGCACCAATTCCGCCCCGCTCACACGAATAAAGGTGCATTCCGTGTGGTGCGCAACGGCACGGGCCAGCAGCGTCTTGCCTGTGCCTGGGGGACCGTACAGCAGCACGCCCTTTGGCTGGGCGATACCTAACGCCTCGAAGAGCTCCGGGTGCTTCACGGGCAACTCGATCACCTCCTTAATCTCTTTCACTTGGCGGGAAAGTCCACCGATTTCGTCGTATGTCGACTCGCTACCCGCCTTCTCCACCTTCATGAGCGACACCAAGGGGTCTACCTTGGTCGGCAAGATGTAGTGAATCGCGTAGGTAGCGTTGCGCAGTGCCACACGTGTGTTCCGCGTGAGGTCTGCGATGTCAACTGTCTTCTCCACCTCAACGATCAGCTTGCCCTGATTTGAACTGACGCTCACAAGCACTTTGCCCTTGCCCATCACACGGACAACGTCCGCAACGATGGAGCCATTTTCCTGTAACATCTGCACCTCATCCTTGAGGTGGCGCACGCGTCTGTTAAGTTCATTCCTCTGTGCTTCGAGACGCAAATAATTGTCGTGCAGGCGTTTTTCCTGCGCACGCAACTCCTGTATTTTTTGAAGGAAGTACGTGCTGACAGGGTTGTTCGTACTGCTAGTAGCAGCTACAGCGGTGGCTGCCATCTCTTTTCTCTTTTGTGCGTGTGTGTGTGTGTGTGTGTTTGGTTTTTGTTTCTTTTTTTTACCGGTGCCTCTTGCAGCAAACTTGATCCCTCCCTCGAATCCTTTGCAACACAAGTAAAGCAAAACAAGAGACTACAAATATCCAGCCTGCGCTGCCCAACATGCAATAGGCTAAGACACACAATACAAGACCTTCTGAATAAGCACGCACACGCAGAGACGAAGACGCACTGACTCACACACACACGTCTTGTCCGATGAACTTTCACACAGTCTTGAGGAGGAGCTGGTGCGGCACGATGGTGCAATTTAACGGCAAGTACATCTAACCCCCCATAAAAAGAGGCAAATAAATAGACGTGGATGAAATGGGTGAATGATGATGATGTTATATATATACATATATATATATATATATATATGACATCATCATGTGTATCTATCAAGAGAGATGAAAAAGAAAATGAGGGGTGTGACATCTATAATTTGAACGGAAAGACTCCTTCCATCCACTTTTGTTGTGCAATCCGTAGCCATTTTAAGATAAGAAAATTGGGAGAAATGCGCCGCTCGTCAATGTACCACACCCCCACAAGAGCCACCAATCAAACGCGCAGTGCTGCTGCCGTTGCTATTACTCTTTTCATCTTCGCCTGTGTCCACACGGCGGCATTTTCGGTGCACATCAGGTGTCATTGCACCCGGTAGGGAACAGGCAGAGGCCGCGTCGCGGTTGGAGTCCACCTCCTCGAGGAATCGCTTGCTCCGCTGCAGAAGCTGCATTCCCCGGCCACTGCACGGAGTCGTGCGGCTACCGCCAACGCGGGCATCACCCCTCCCAGTATTGCCACAGTCATCGAGGACGTTGGAAAAAACGAGCCGTTTCTGTGTCGGGGATGCCACAACGACAAGGTGCGACAGATGCTCGGCGAGGTCGATGGAATCCCCGACCTCATCTAGAGGCGTAATGTGGGATGGAACGGAGGAGTCATAAGGAAATGAAATGCTGTTGTTGTACTTGTTCTGGGTGTGGTGGCTCTTGTTTCCATGCATCATGTCCTGGTGATGGCATGGAATCCACGTTGTGCATGTAGCAGAGAGCTCATCCTCCTCACCAAAGACGCAGCCCCTCGCACGAGCCTTCTTTGTCGGTGCGCCTGGGTCTCCGAGCTGCATCACCGTTGTTGGGTGAGTCTGACAGCTCACTGCGCTACGCTGGCTATTTTCGCAGTCCTCCTCAAACCACTGGTGCTTCTGTGGAGGACCCCACTGGGCCACCTCTGACCCCTCCACATTCCCTCCCTTCCCCCCAGTGAAAGAAACAGGCGGTGTGAACAGTGGCTCTTCTTCTTTCTTACACGCCAAGGCGGAGGCAGGGAAAGAGAGTGGCTCTGTTGGTGCTCCCGTTATATGTTCACTGCTCAGATAGTCATAGGCTCTGTTTCCACCGTAAATGGTGATACATTCCTCCACACAGGTGTCTTCCTCCAAGGTTCTGGCGCAAGTGTGGTACGGATCTAACTCTTGTTGCTTCCCCTTCGTTATCCTTGCTGGTGTTACACAATAATACTGCTCTTCCCTGCAGCCATCCCACATTCTTTTTCTTGTTGTTGTTTTGCGGAGGGAGGGAGGGAGGGGTGGGGAGACGGCACTCTAATGGTCTATCCTTTTGAAAGCGGTGCCAAACACACCGCTGAAGGAGACTTCGAGAAGGGAACAGAGTAGTTTCATTCCACGTCCAATGGACAGTATGTAACAGTTGCAGCAAACCCCCCAGAGCATAGTCTCACACAACAAGAAAACTTTAAGAAGAACACTTTGACGCTTTAGACTTCAATAACTTTGGAGGCTCAAAGTTAAAGAGCAACACCCGCTGAAGTCCAAGTAGCGGTTTTATTTCTTTAGGCTCTAAATCTTTCACTGTATTCGCATACTCATTTCTCCCCACGATCAAAGAGGACATTGAGCCGATAGAAACCTTCCTTTTTCGTGACACAGCGCGAGTGTCCACCGCTTGGGACCCAGAAGGAAGAGAAGAGCGTGCTGATACGTTTCTTTCACTGTCACGGTTGATACCTCTAGGTCTACTATTTGTCCGTTGCTGAGGTGAAGCACCAGCGGACGTGCGGGTGCCTCGAGCACTGGAGTCGCTTTCCGCCGCAATGCTACGGCCCCTCTGTATGTCGCTGCGTGACGGTTGTCGCCATCGCGGCCTATTGTGGCCTGTCGCGGACCCCTCGCCATCAGTGTGTTCCATTGGTGGCGGATGGTACTTGTAGCGCTCTGGGATCTCCTGTGCACACCGTGGCACATGGTTGTACGGCACCCTCGCGTTCTCGAGATTATCCACGATCTGCGAGACGTACGCGTGTTGTGATAGCCTTCGCGACGGTGATCGCTCCAGTGTGCGCCACTCAGTCGGACGTCTACGCCCCGTTCGAAATGCATCCGGTGTGCTTGCGCCGTCGGCTACAAACAACTCGTTTGGTACTGAGGGCAGAAACCCAGCGGCGTTTATCTCGACACGAGGGGCCCTGCGCACGGCAGATGGCGTTCCGCGGCGAGGCGTCATGGGGCCCGTGATGCGGTGACCACCGCTGTACGAAAACCCCAAGCGCACAGTGTGGTTGGTGACGCCTGAGCCCATGCTCTGCGAGCGCTGGCGCTGCACGGGTTTCCCATGCTGCGCCTCAAGGGGTGTGATCTTGCTCTCAATTAAATCCTTCACCACAGAGTGGACGTGCTCGTAACGCTGCGCGGAAGCCCCGCGACCTGACAGATTAGTGCTGCTCGGGAAAGAAGTTCGCCGAGCCGACCAGATACTGTTGCCTGGGAAAGAAGGACGCCGACTCGACGCGTTACTGCTGGTCCAGGCGGTCACGGAAGCGTCTCGACCCCCGTATCGATTGAGGTACCCCGGACGAGGCGACGCGGTTGCCAGGGTTTCTCTTCCCCGTTGTCGTCGCTTCACTTCCAACGCCATTGGCGACACAGGCGTGATGGGAACAGGCACGGTCCGCGAAACTCTCTCGTTGGCAGTGTGATCCATGCGCTCCCTGTGCGTCATGAGTTTCGGATTAAGCCTCATATGTGAGCTGTTGTTGGGAGACATGCGTCCCGCCACAGCGTTCTCGCTCATTATTCCTCAGCTGATGTGGCAATGCAGAACAGGCAAAGCGTGCCGTGGCACAGAAGGGAAATGAGAGGAAAAGAAAGTATGTGAGAATAGAAGAAGCAAAAGACAGAACAAAACGTCGTACAATGTGCCAAACCCACGAAGTAAGACACCGAGACGCTAAAAAAAAAGTTTGTAGGCATGGCTGGGTTGAACAAAGAGGAGTATCATCAGCAGAGGCAATATTCAAACAGTGCTGCTTTACCATCATGAGCTGGAAAGCAAGATCCCTTCCTGTTTTGCTACATGTTCTTCTCAGTCTCTCTCTCTCTCTCTCTCTCTCTCTCTCTCTCTCTCTTCCCCCCTCCCCATCAGCTCGGCCCCTTTCCTTCTCTTCGTTTTTGTTTTGGGTACCTGCCGCCCCTCCTCCACCCCTTACACACAGATACGACGGGAGAAGGCAGAGCGGAGGGGATCTCAGGAACCTCATAAAGGAGAAAGGTCTACACTGCGGATTCCAAGTACAATAACCTCCACACACACACACACACACACGCGCGCGCGCCTCTTTTTTGTGTTGTTGTTACACACGCTCTTCCCCCTCCTCTTTTTTTCCCCGGGGGGGAAGTGGAGGAGGAAACAACAACAGCGAAAAAGCAAAAACAAAACAAAACAATGAAACTGACATGTGACGAGGGTTAAACTCCTTGCGCACACGACATAAACAATGGGAAAGTACAATGAGACAATACTGTCGGATTTTTTCCGAAATTCCTTCCTCATTGCGTCCACCCGTCGGGGGTGTATGGATCGGCGCAGAAAACATACACACGCAAAAAAAAAAGAAGCAAAAAGAATCAGAACAATCACTACAAAACAGTTCCTAACCAATCCTCTACACACATATGTGTTCTCGCGCCCCCTCCACTCCCTCTTTCAGAACACCCTCTGTATCAAAAACATAGGTGTGCTTGTGTGGTGGTTGGGGGGAAGGGGGAGGGGGAAGCTTTCAGCTCCATGTGTGTTGGCCGTTGCCCAAGTGAAAGGAAAGAAGAGTTTGTAGTTTCTTCTCGGAGAAACTCTTCAACTTTACACAAGCTCGCTGTGTGGTAGCACCCACCAATATCCTCTACATTACAAAATACACAGAAAAACCCGAAGAACAAAGAACGCTGTACAGATCACTCACCTACCCGAACACATAGTGCATCCTGCTTCCCTCGAAAACTACACTTCATCTCTACTTCAACAGTAAGCACCCACCTGGCGCCTGCGTGAAGGAGATCGATTCGTTGATGACGTCTCCGTCCCTTCCCGCTCAGTGGACGAGAAGGCACCGTGCCTCGCTCCGTTCTCCAGGCGATCCGCCTCCTCATCCTCGCCCACCTCGTAGTCGAATGGAAGTTTTGGTGGAGGCCCAAAGTCTGTCCGTGGCTCTGGCCCGTAACGTTTAATAAGAGACACCAGCCAGTCGTATAGTGACAGAGGCCACTGCGACGAGGTTACGTCCCTCTCATAGAATGCAAAGTGAAAGTCACGCAACGCCCAAGGATCATATGCACGGTAGATGCATGATATGCGTTTCTCAAAATAACGCACATACGGGCGATGAAAGCGTTGCAGCGTCTGTGGGTTAAACTGCAGCCATCTCGGAATGGGTTCAAACGCAGGAATAGTGATGCGGAACGTCACTTCGCCAACAACAGCAGCTCGATCGGTGCTCAAAACACCATACGAGGCACGCTGGGCAACCGTGCGACCACTCGAACGCAGAATTGGCACTGTAATAGGTTCACCAAGTCGAAACATTCGCTTGGTTAGGAGGGCACGCAAGGAAAGCACGGCACGTCCCATTTCCCTTTCTTGAGTGAGTCGACGATTTGCAAGGGAATGTGTGCTACGCCGCGCAACACTGGAATACTGCTGACTACCTGGCCCAAAGGTCTCGTGAAGACTGATTTCAAGTGGAAGGGCAACGGCGGAGTTGCCAGGTTCTCGTGGAACGAAGATGTCAACGCGCATTTCTGGAAAAAATTTGCGTGTATCAATCTTTTCTGCCCACGCTACCTTCATCGAAGATCGCTCCTGCTCATTCAAACAGGATGCGCACACAGATATAAGTCCCTTGTCCATTGAAGTCTTATCCTCACTCTGTGTCACATCAACTTTGTCAATATGTACATAAAAGGTGAATGCTATGGGTTTAGGAGCAAGCTTTTTCCTAAGTTCGCGGTGGGCCTCCTTTAAAGATGTGGACTGCGCCATGAGTGGCTGAACTTGTGCAACATCCTGTGGTCTGAATTTTCTAACAAGCGAGGTTACATCCTTTGTCACCTCCTCTAGTACAGTTTTACCACTGCCGTTGTGTAGCTTGCCGTAGAGAGTGACTGTCCCTCTGGAGAATCCGGGGGACTGCAGCTCGACACCTAACACGCCGATTTCTTCGTGTGTGTTAACGTCAAAAATAGGCACCCAACAAACATTCGGCTCTTCCCGCACCATGCTGCGGAGACTCACTTCAGCCAAGCCTAAGACACGTGACGCACGAAGTCGTCGGTGCTCTGCAATCTTGAACTTTAGCATTGAGCGCAGTGGATTTTCGAGCTGCACAGTCGTTTCATTTTTCATGGAAATGTCAAACTGCATAGACCTGGAGGCGTAATGATCTTTGGTACGGAGTGCCGCAACATCATCCAGGTAGGCCTTCACATAGCACGGACACATGGGCACAAAGTCACGTATGCCCAACACACGAATCCGCATCGGGGCAGTCCCTGTCTCCGGGCCATACATTTCGGTTAAATGCTTAATTAGCTGCTCCTCCTGTCCCACATAGTCACCAAGAAGATACTCTACACGGTGCAACTGGGATGGATTGTAGCGTGACAAGAGTGCATCAACACGCTGGCGGTAGTACTGCTCCTTGTCTGGCCGTATAATTTCCTGAGTTAGCCCAAATTGGCTAGAAACTCCTTCAATGAAAAGTGTACCGATCACTTTTGCATCTGTAGTCAGTGCATTTTGAAAAACATGCAGCTTACGCTCAAACGGTTCATCCCGTCGAAGATTCTTAAGAGAAATCACAACGCGGCCGACCTCTACGTCGTTGGCCTCCGCTTCATGTACCACTATGAAGAGAAGTTCATCCTTCTCCGGTGTACACACAGGAAGTTCAGTTACATCGTTAAAAATAAATTCCTGTGAATATCGTACACCGTTTGTTCGGTGTAATTCGGGACCAACTCTAACAATCACCGCGTATGTCTTTGGAAAATCTTCTTTGGTATCACGGCGAAACCGCCGAATCCGGAGACTCATGAGGTGCTGCGGTGGCTCAGGACCAAACTCATGTGCCCAGACCTGCATGAATGAGTTGATATCTCCAATAGATGCCACAATTGGGTCTAGACGATGCAGATCATCGCGGAGGTATTTCCACAAGTAGTTCTGCACGCGAGTGCGCTTAATCTCTTCTTCCCGCTCGTTCACATGCCCAACAGAACCATATGTAGGGGAGTACAGGGCGACTGTAATGCTGCCACAGTAGCATGCATCCCCGGTCCCTGCTGCGTAGACAATGGGGTGAGTACGCTCTTTTGCAACACGATTTTGCAATCTGTTCATTGATATAAGACATTCACCGAACTTGTGGTTGGCCGAGTATACTGCGAGCGTAATGTTGTTTGACTTTGGATTATCCAGTATCATATCAAATGTCTCGTTGAATACAGCCCGTCTGTGATATGGAACCATTCTGGTAGTCTTCTTTGCACGACCTGCAGATATCTTCACGTAGCACGTCTCACGTGTGGTCGGCGTCATGAATTCCTCCATCAGGTTGGCAACTGACCTGATGGTTATCTGGAAACCGGCCGGCTCACAGTCCGGTTTCTGGTATTTCTTACACAATGTAGCAAATGAACTGTCAAAGTCATCCATGCACTCCCCAACATACCACTCCAGGCGGTGAAGCTCTTCTGGGGCATTAATGCGCATTAGCACACGAAGTCTTTCACGGAACTCACTCTCAGCCGACGATGAAGGTACGTTGTACACCCCAAAGGAGTCCGTGTAGAGTGAAATCAATGCAGAACCACACTCATACGCCCGTTCGGTACCCGGGTGCCTCACAAGCGCGACCCACTGGCGTCGCTCCTCTCCACAAATGAGGTTCAGCACAGACAACGCGCACTGTCCCAGCTTCTTTTTCCCAGCACTTGTGACAGCGACAACCGTCACCGTGATTTCCTCCGTCTCCGGATTGTTTACCTCAAAAACAAATTCATCGTTGAAGGGAGGATTGGCGTCGTTGTAGATGATGGGGGTCTTGCCACGGCCGTACGACGTCTGAACCGCGATGAATGTCGATGGCAGGTGCTGCGTTGTGCGGGAAACCGGGAGCAAATTCCTGACGCCCTCTATTCGTACCCGCACTTTCTTTTTACGCTTACCACTTTCCACTTCAACGGGTTGCTGCAACGGCAATGATGGCACACGCGGCGTGTGGTACTCATCATCCTCGGAAACCGTACCAGGTCGTCCTGCCCTACCCACTGCATGCGGTGGCAATGTATCGTTGTAGTGAAAGATCTGATCGCCCCGATACCCGTTGGTGTGGTTGCTGTGATTGCTGTGGTAGGAGTGACGTGGATGTGATTGTCTCGTGGAAACTCCATTTTCTCGCCCGTGGCGCGAATGATGTGACCGCTGAGAGCGGTGCGAACGCTGCGACCTTCGTGATCTTCGTGGGGATCCATGCAGCGATGATGTTCGACTTCCTGAATACGGCTCATTGTAGGTATTCAGACGGTTCATCTCGATTCACTGCTGAAACACGTAAGGTACTTTTGTGTGTGTGTGTGTGTGTGTGTGCTCGGTATCAAGCGAAAGGAGCGTAGGTATGAATGTACGTATGCTTTTATATACGTCCGTGGATGTGGGTGTGCGTTGCTACTCTCTGACTTATCCCCTCTTGTCGAACCCAATGAATGCCTCTGGTGCAAAACTAGAGGTTCTTTGCAGGAGGTCCTATGCACCTTTGTCTCTCAGAGTTTTCCACGACAATTCTCACACTCTGCTGTATATATTGGTGTGTATGCATAAAGTGAGGCAAAATAAAAGAGAAAGAAAGAAAGAAAGACATATAAAAACATTGAAGAGAGAGACTAGTGCACTATTGATGATGCATCATCACCTTCGCCAATCACCGTTGCAAGGATGATAATGTAATAGAGATTTTTTGCGTTAATGGTACTAGTGGTAGTGGTGACAGAGTTCACGCAGAGCGCAAGACCTTCAACCAAGTTGTGCAAGAGCAAAAAAAAACACAAGAAACAATCAGTATCGGTCTTGCATATAAATTTCATAACTATAACAACATAAAGCAAAACCGCGACCATTGAAGCAATGCAATACCACAAAATATATTTACAATGTATCTCTGGCAATCAACCTACACGGGAGGTGGGGCAGAGAACGGTTCTATCTCTGGCCCCCACCGCTTCACTAGTGCTAGAAGAAGATTGGGGAGCTCCTGCGCCCATGTGTCCTTCACGACACACTTTTCGTACACAACTTGATGGATATCTGTCAGCGAGTTTGCGTCATAGTGCTTGAGAAGCGAGCAGACTCGGTCCAGATAATAGCGCACAAAGTCGCGGTTAACCTTTCGCGATGAATCAAAAAGCAGCACACTCGCTGGGTAACTCTCAAACGCGGGAGATTTGAGTGAAAGTGTGACTGTACCGGCAAATTGTGCCCGTACCGTGTTGCGTTGCCGCTGCACCTTCACAAGCGGCACAGTGATCGGCTCGCCCATGTCGTACAGCTGCGGCGTGAGCAGTGCGCGCAGCGACAGGACCGCGCGGCACACCTCCGCCTCGTCGCGGCTGCCATCACCAAACACACGGAGGACCAGTGCATCACATGTGGTGATATCGATGCGCAGCGGAGGGTAGTTGAGATTCCCCGTCGAGATATGACATGTATTGGACGACTGCGAGGCAGGTGACAACACATGCGATACGAGTTTGCGCTCCACAGAGTGCACGACGTCGGCCTTCACCGTCGCCTCCACCACGCGACGACCCTTCACGGGGTTCAACAGCTCCGTTTGATGCACCTCGCAGTAGACCGTCGCCTGCACCTGCGGTGCCAACTGCTGACGGTAGAGACTGTGGATGGTGCGTATGTCATCGGAGTGGCCAATCATCACATCAAGCCGACGCAAGTCCTTCGGATTGTACTTCATCATCAGGGACGAAAGATCATCTGTGGCGCTCTCCACATCGTGTGGTGGAGGCATCGCGCGTGCCTCACGACGTCCCCCTAAAATGGCTGGCATATCCACCTGCACACCCAGTTGTCCCATGGGCTTTCCCTTCATATCAAATAAGCGAAGCCATTTCGTTATTACTCGGCCTTTCGGACACTGGGCAATTATGAAGTCGCAGAAACAGAGGGCGCACGACCTTCGAAACCTGGTCACTGCCAACTTTACCGTTAGAAGAATCTCTTCAACGCTATACGATGTATCGATAGTGAACTCCTCATTAATATGAGCGAGTCGCTTTCCTCCTAAGTTACCAGTCCGAAGGACTGTCTTGTTATCATTCATCTTGATCTTAATATACACCTCATTCTCAGGGAAGTCTCGAAGGCTCAGTAGCAGGATTCGGATTGGGTGCCCGGCCGTTGTGTCCAAATGCAGCGGTAGTTCTTGCCTCGTTGTGTAATTCATATGCTCGTCCTGTTCCTGTGCCTCCGCCACGATGGTAGGTAGATAGTGCATATCCTCTGGATGATGACGCGACATCTCCCGTTCCATGCGTTCATAAATGTTTTCCTCGATACCACCTCGCTGATACTCAGAGTCGACGCCAAAGTTGTAGGCGAGAAGAGACACTTCAACGGAACCATGCAGTGAGGCAAATCGTGTCTGTGCCCTATACACTAATGGCAGCTTCAAATGTGTCTCCTTCCCGTGGGCAATGCTCTTGATGGGAAGCACCGTCCTTCCTACTTCCTCACCCACAGCGGATTCCGTGTCAACCATCATGACTAGCAGCTGCACCTCCTCCTTCTCTGGTAGGCCGATCTGAACATCAAAAGCCTCTAAAAAGACGTACTCCCCATTCCCTTGAACGATGCTTGTCTTATATTGCATGAGACCAACTTTGATGATGCAATACGGGGATCCACACTTGACCACGAGGGAGTGACAACGTAGCACATTAATGCGGAGGCGATAATTCCCAGGCTCTGGGCCATATTTCTCTGTCAGTCTTTGGATAAGTGCCTCAACGTTGAATGTGGTGCTAAACTTGACGTCTACAGCATGGAGTTGCTCACGTCGGTGGTAATAATAAAAGTCCCGCAGACGCGTGTACTGAGCATCGTTGTCTTCAGTTGACGGTGAAACCACGCTACCAAAGTTACTACTAAATAACGAGATAGTGACGTAGCCTACGGGTGTTGCCGTGGAAAGACCACAATTCTTCACAATAAAGTGCGTTCGCTCCTGTGCTACGCTTTGGTGCAAGTCTGCTAGCGAAAGTTCACACTCCCCACATTTATACTTTCCTTTCGCATCGATGTAGACCCCCACGCGCAACTTCTCCGTTGTGGGCTGTGAGACACTCAAATGGCACTCCTCCTGCATCATAAAGGATCCATTCGCCCCTTTCACAGACTTTGTGCAGCAGCGCATCTTACCACCAGCTTTGACCTTAACAAAACAGGATCCGGAGATTACGAGGCGATCATTATAGTACAAATGCGTCACGCTCTTCACTGTGATTATGACCTCCGCTACCATTTTCTTATTGTCGCCGGTGGAATCCAGTTTTCCCATTATACCCTCGACCAACTCATTCTCCTTGTGTGAATACTCGCCAATGAACCACTCGATGCGATGCAGCTCCTCGGGAGCGCGGCTCGCAAGTAATTTCTGCAGCATCTCGCGGAAGCGGTTCTCAGCGTCGACTGACGGCATGTAATCCAAGCCAAAGTTCTCACCGAGGAGTGTGAGACAGACGGTGCCGCGCTGCGCCGCCACTGGGCGATGTGGCGCCACCACCAGTGATACTCGCCGCGTTCGTGGTGTTCCCCTCTGTACGTTTTTCATGGAAAGAATGCAGTGTCCCAAACACTTCTTTCCATAGGGTGTCTCGGTAATAACAGTGATGCTAAGAAAGTCATTGCTCGGGTCTGTGATGGAGAACGTGAATTCTTCATTGTAGCGTGGTGTCCTAGTTTGAAACGCCATTTTGGTCTGATGTGTCTTGTTGAGTGTGGAAAGCATCACGTACGGGTCGGGTGGGACCCGTCGCCTATCCTCAAGGTCATCGCAGTACAGCAGCCGCACATGTAGCCACTTTCCGCCATGCATTCTTGGCCTGGTCAGCGACAGTGACCCCACATCAGAGACCAGCCCCGGCTCGGTGGAGTGGGACGGTGTTGTGGGTACGTGCCCCACATTGCTGCCCCGCGAGACCGAGAAGAACTCATCAACGGTATGGATACCCTCATCCATGAGATTCATCGGCACATGGTAGCTGGAATCCTGCTCACTTGTGAATACCGAGCTCGCGTCAGTCGACGCGATGGAGCTGTTGTTAGAAGCATGTTCACGCAGTTGGAACTGCGCCGTTACACGCGCAAGTTTACTGCGCCACTCGTCAAATCGTGCACGGAATGTGTTGGGCCGTCTTCCTCGATCTGTCAACGTCGTGGACATATCACGCTGTAATGATTGTTGCTGCTGCTGTTGATCCAGCAAAGGCGAAGAGGTGCATGTCTGCTTTTCCCCATGAAGCATCTCGCGAAGATTGAGATTCTTCACAATGAATCTTACGCCGATGATGCCGTTGCTTTCATCGTCAGGGTTCGTGAGTGGCAGCCACTCGTGGTACTGCTCGTCCAGCTCCACCGCGTCGAATGGTATAACGACACGTCCCACCTCCTTGTCTGTGCCGAGCTCGCAACGGTCCATTACAATGAGAGTCAGGTGCGCATCCCTCGGCTTATCCACGAAGAATTCGAAGAAGTCAAAGAAATCCGGCTCTCCGGTGTTCTTCACCACATGTGTTTCGTACCGCTCAATACCCATGCGTACAACTACGTACGGATTCATACTAAACCAAAAGTTAGTGCGTAACTGGCGGCAACCCAAAACAGTGACGTATACAGCGTACGTCGCATCCTCCTCACCGTACTCCCGCGCAATGTCCCCCATGAAACCCTCCATGTCGAACACTGTGTCCACCGCAATGTTGACAAGATGCAGCTTATCCGGGGCACGCGATTGCACATACCGCCACAGACGCCCGGCGTACATGCGCTTTGCCTCAATGTCCACGGCGAACGGCTGGCCCAACTGCTCACTGTAGAGTGTGATGCTAAGCACGCCACTAATGTATGCGTTGGGCGTTCCGGCGGCGCCCACGAGGTAGAGCGTACGATCATTGCGCACTCCACGATGCAGTTTTAAGCACGTGAAATCCACACGACCATACACAGTGTTCTCTTGACGTGACCGTACCACCTGAAATTTAATCATGTCCGTCTCACGTGCGACATCAAAGATGAAGGTCTGGTTGATTACAGTTCGCGAGAGCCCCAACACTCGCTTTGGCTCTGTGCGCACTATATGGTCGCCCATTGTCACCAAAACAACAACGTCCTTTTCGTCCAGATTTGTTGTCGCATCGAGCTGCAGCGAGTGCAGCTCTTGAATAGTCACCCATAGCTCAATGGTACCAGGCTCTCGGCCGTACTGAATCTCCAACTCCTTCATTAACTCATCGAGATGGTCCAGACGGGCGTTGATGAGAGCGTCAATCTGTGGAATGCGACGTCGATCGTACCGGTAAAAAAATCGGTTGAGCCGCTGGTAAAATCCGTCAATGTGTTCTGCCACCTTCATCGGCACCAAACCAAAGTAGAACGGCTTCATGGTGAGATGCACCATACCAGTGATGCGTGGCATCATGTAGTCCTTTTGCTTAAAAATGAATACCTGCCGCGCAGAAGAGTGATCACGTGTGAGAGTGGAAACACGTACCTGCGCCCGCCCCACTTCACTATCTTTTGACGTCGGAGAAATATAGTACACCATAATGTCGAGCACGAAGTTACTGGGGTCTATGACGTCGAAATAGACGAGACCAGTCGGTCGGCCCCACACAGGATTAGCGGTGAAGGGCCGCAACGGCGTGACGAAGTCCTCAGAAGCGCTACGAATAGCCACTACCACCTGTGACGGCAGATACATTGTCCGCTGCTCGAGATCTGTGCAGCCCTCAACTACAACAGCGAGCCTGTACAGTGGCGGCTCCTGGGAGTTATACGTTGCGCAGAGATTCTCCATCAAATCATCGAAGGTTGCATGCCTGTCCCTCATCGTTGTTATCTCAAAACTCGACACCGGTCCTGGTGTACTTGGTGGGCTTGCCAGCGCATGCGGTCCCTTCACGGACGCAAGGAGCAAGTCCACATCCGCCAATCGACTCCTGTCACACTGAATGAAAAAACGTGTCAGTCGCTTCACGCATTTTTTCTCTACAACTTCGGTCATTACAGGCTCGGAGTCACCCGGGATATCGGCCTTAAGTGTGATATGAATCGTGCCTATTATACCAGTATCGTCCTTTGCCACAATGACATGCTGCCTCGTACGCTTCTCACCCTGAACTAACCCCTCAATCGAGAGACGACAACAGCCAAGAAGCCGTTCATCTTCAGCACTACCATATGGAGCACAATTGTACGCAAATACCTCAATTACAGCGAGACGATTTGTGTTGCCCACTGTAAATGACTCTTCAAATGTAGGCCTAAATGTGTTCAGCTTGCTACGTGTGTGGAACTTATACACACCATCCACGACAATTCGAATGCGGCAATTGACCGTTTCGAGCCCAGGAGACCGCAGCACGTGGCATTTGTGCACCGTGATGGTTAATTTCCCCATACTACGTGTGTGCCTAAGTCTTTCAGTTTTTCTTTGCGTGGGTTTATGTATATGCGTGGTCCCTCAATCCTGGGACAACCGTGGCGCTTCACGCCTGATCGTATGGTGTAAGGAGACACCATAAAAGCGGTGTGAAACCGGAGGGCAAATAGGGATGAAAATAAAAAGAATGAAAGAAGGGGGGGGAAAAATAAAGAAAGATGTCCCTGCTGCCTACATGAAAAAGGGAAAGGAAAAGGCGGTGCGTCCAATGCACCGGAATAATTGTGGCCGAAACCCACTATACCCCGAAAAGAAGAACAAGAAGAATTTAAAAGTGTTTTACTCGATCTGTCGTGGCGGCACACGACCCACACGGCAACACAGCTAATGGGATTCACCGATGTGCTGCTGCAGAAGGTGAATCATTTCCAACTCAGAGGCCAAGGTCATCTCCAGCAGCTTTCTGCGCGCATCATACACTGTTTCAGCTAAGTTTGCCTCTGATACAGCCATCTGTAGACGCACCGCCTCAGCCCGCATCGCCAGCACCCTCGACACGAGCGCCAGGACCTTCGGTGTCCGCTCCACACACCACTCACGATTAATGGTGTGGATGAGGTTCTCAAACTTCACTGGCTCCACTGTCATAAGGTAAAACACATTGAAGAGTGTTTCAACTTCCTTCGCAGTAGCTGCTGGTACTTCCCCACCAGAGGGTGGTGGCAGTCGCGACACGTAGAATCCCTCATCGAAGAGAAAGCCGAGACGCTGCAGCCACTCCAGCCGCTCCTGGATCATACCTTTATCCTTCGCTGTGGACGAAGAGGATTCCTCCGCAGCGATGAGATTCACCGTCATTTCCGCTATAACGTCAAGGGAAAATCGCAGCATATCCTCCTCCAGAATAGTTTTTGTGACAAACTGAAACTCTATGGCAAACCGTGACGCACCGATACGTCCATACGTACAGAACACCTGCTCTCCACGACGAAGTTCACGTGCGGCGACCACGCAGAACGTCAAGGCATGTTTGCGGCCACCCCCACGGATCTCAAACTTCCCGTTTGCCGCAGAGGAATGATTGATGATGTCAAGGCCGGGGAGGAGGTATGGCCCTTCACGTCCCTCAATCTCCTCACGATGAAAATTACGTGATAACACTTGTGCTAGGCACTCGCAGAAGAGGGAAAACGTTGCCTGTTCCTCCGGCCAGTACTCTGGAAAACGCCGCATCACCTCCTGCGCGGCCTCCCACCGCTGCGCCACCTTAATCTCGCGCAGTTGCTGTGAGGGGCCCGTCCACGACAGTGAAACCGATGTTGTGGGCGTTGCTGAAGCGCCACTAGATGAGAGGCCGAATACCACCTTTGCCGTCGACTCGTCAAAGAAGTGATCTGACATGCGCGGACATGCCTTTAACCATGGCATCCAGGGTGATGAGTGCCGCACCGCCTCCGCCATGAGGCGAAGAACAACGTAGAGAACATTGTCCTTGATCTGTAACTCTGTAAGGGCCTTGAGGCATGGTGAGTCAAGGCTGGTCTTCTCGTACGGCGAGATGCAGGTCACGAACGGGCAGCTGACCACAACAGTGCCCGCCTTCAGCGGCTTGCGCGCGAAAACACCGAAGCCCATCGTTTTTGTGGGGACGAGGAAGGCGACATCTGGGTGTAGAAACACGTCGCGCTTCTTTGCCCACGCTCCAAAGGCATCAGGTGACTGGTCAGTACCAAAGCAATTACTCATCGGACGGCTTATTTTTCTGGGGGTGGGGAAGGGCAAACTATTTGTATCCGTCGATATATATATATATATATATANATATAGTAATAGATTTGTTGAGGAAACAGCAAAAAGGTTTGTCAAAATAACCCAAATCTCGCACATCCGTTGAGTCTCAGTATGGTGCATGGAGGCAATTGTCATAAAAACAAAAAAATGTTCTTCAAAAGCGCAAGAAAGTACGTCCTCACATTTGCTGGCGCCTTGCAACTCCGGCCAAAAACAAGGAAGGAAAAAACTCACGCATAAAAAATTAAAAAAGAAAATTGACACACATCCACAGATGAGGCATACACCAACGCTCTTTTCCCAAGCATTCCCTTCTTACCAAAATAGGTACATAAGCCCGGCTATGCTTCCGTCAGCCTCGCGCCCTGTGCAACAGCTTGTGGCGAAGTTCACAAGAACGGTTTCTCCGCGGAAGCTTCCTGAAGCAATCGCTTTTGAGGGTGGGTCGGCCAGATGGCAGCGACGGCAAGAATCCTTAAATTCGTGCACGTCGCGCTCCCATACATCTGGGGGTTGCTTCGGTGACGCGTATTCGTAAATGCGGCGACTGATATCGAAAAATTTCACACTGATGCTTTTTGCCGCATTGTCAGTATGGTGGACATCGCCGGTGCAGAGGAGGGACCAAAGCGGCTTCGCAAACACCACGTCTGCGTTGGAGTCGAGTGCGGCACAGCGAAGGGCAGAGCGGCCCGTGGGGTTCCCTGTGTTGATCGCAGCTGCAGCCAAAATATCTGGCCACTCGGTCATACACAAACAAAAATCCACATGTAGTTTGTGGCCTGTCTCTGTCCCAGCGTAGAGCTTTGATGCATGCCGATCATACGAAAGCTTTGACTCATCCACCACACGCACAGAGTATCGAAAGGCCTCACAAAAGGTAAAGAAAGATTTTATGATAGTACCTGCTTCTTCGTCAGAGACAGAGGGACTTTTGACAATCGTGAATCCACTCCGTGGGCCACGAACCGCCTCCACGTGCTTGACGTACCGCAAAAAATCTACACGGCACTCGCATGACATGAAACAACTCACATCGGGTGATACTGAATGGTGAATTAGGTCCTGGCATGCGGGAGAGGTGCTTCTTGCCAACTCAAGGTCACATATGATTCTTGGTGTCCCAAAATTAACCTTGTCAACGAGCCAAAGTTCATCGTGTGGATTTCCACCCTTCAGTCGGCGGGTCACAGTACCACTCTCGAAACGCTTCGTGTCCTCTGCAGCCAGATTGAATAGGAATGTGACGTTGGCAAGCATGTGCGTCTCATCATGATGAAACTCACGACGCATTGCCGCGATGATCTCTAGCGGTAAACAAAAGTAGGTAGCAAGTGCCTGATTCATCACCGCTTCGGTGTCGCCACCGTCCAAGGTGACAGCGGCCATAATGTCCTCAAGCTCCTTTGGTACAGACACAAGGTCTGCCTTGAATGGGTTGGTGGGGAGGGTGCAGAAACCGACACTCAAGCGTTGTGGACTGAAGAGAAACTGCATTGTGAATCGGAGAATGCGGGAGAGGGCGGTTACAGTGCCCGTCAGTGCCTCACCAGTGCCACGGTAGAATGTGTAGAGAGAGCGAACACCGCGCACATCTTCTGGCAGCGTAAAGTGCCAAATGCAGGGATGGTCCTCTTCTTCCACCGGAGACTCTCGCACACTCTTCTGCTCGGGAAGGGGGCGCACCGTCTCGTGGATCACCTCGCGTTGCGGAGCGCCCGGGTACGACATCCACCCAAGGCAGTCCACCATACCGGCCTCCACCTCCCTAAGAAACCAGCAGCCGTCGTCAGTCTGCTCGAGGTTGATGTACCGACTAACGCAGCGCTCCCCGTCAAGGTAGTTTGGATCGGGGGAAACGAAGTGCGAGAAGAACTGATTCTGCTCCGCGATGCCGACCCTCCCATTACCAACGTAGGAAATAACACCAACATGCCCCCACGGAAGGTGCTTTTTATGGTACGGGTAGACTATAATATCGCCAGGTTTGGGTGGACGCGTTGACTTGCCATTTGGGTGTGGCACGAAATCATACGTTGTGCCCGTCTCAACATGGGTAATGATCCTCATATCGAAGATCTCAGACGCACGCTGGCACGGTCCAAAGATGCAGCCAGTGGTAAGGAGGAGAAATCGGCGGGCATACTCTACACATTGATAACGAAACCCAGTGTACACGACGTAGTCCACATAATTGCTCTCACCACTGAAGAAGCCATCGTCGCGGTTGGAGCAGGCGATGACACCCCTGAAGCTGCCCTGCTGTTCCCCATATGGCAAGTGAACAGATTCATCTCTGTGTCCATCTGTAGACATTCCGCAATACCCTTTTTTTTTCAACTTATCATGCACATATATATATATATATATATAAAGTGAAAGAGAAGCGCAAACTATTTCTCAAACAAACCCATTTAAGCAAGCCCCTCGCTATCTCGTTGTGCGTATGCGTTTATGTATGCCGAATTTCTTGCATACGCAGAGATGTGAACCTCAGCTGTTTTTTCCCCATTCACTGTATCTGTTGTTCACACAAAACCACCGGCACGCAGAGCAAGCACATATACCTTCCCCAGTCGCATACACCCAATACAAAGGCAAGTAGCCAGGTGCACCACAACATGTTTGGTTATGCGTCCTTTCCTTTCCCGTATCCACAAAAAAAAAAAAAANCTGGCTTGCGCAATCTGTAATTGGTTTCACACCCTCCAAGCAACTGACGACGAGAGTTGCATCATCATAGCCTCCGCGTTGCTATCTGGTTTTGGCTGCTTTGGCTGACGAGTGAGACGAGACATACCGCGCATGAATCTGCTCAGCTGACACATGACCATCAAGAGATACCGTGGTGGGGTGCGGTGGGATGAACTCACTACCGTGATATCGCATGCTGTACATAATACTAGGCGACGCGGTCCGCGCAGCTTCACCCTGTCCAGTTTGAGAGCAGCCTCCAAGTCCTGCATCGAGGGTGTCCCACGAAAACCGATACGATAGTTGTTGAAAATGATCACCAACGGAGCGGTCGTAAAATGATCCGTGATGGCGCGTAAGTAGGCAGCAGCACGCTTAAAGGAGCGCTTATTTATGCTGTCCACCACAAAGAGGATAAAGTTCACAGCTTCCATGCGCTCCACATACAGGCGCCAGTTCTCGCAGAAGCTCTCGCGTCCGCCAAGCTCATTCATCTCGAATACCCATTCCTCGAACGCCATAACCCGCCTTGACAGACCGACCGTCGGAATTGTCGGCTGCACAACGCCCTGGAGGGAGTTCAGGATGAGTGTCTTGCCAACATTTTCTAGCCCCGCCACAAACCCTACGCGCCAGGCCAAACGTGCAGCCAGCGCCTCACGCGGCAGCAGGTGATTCAGCGCCACCTGCGACACACACTGGAAGTCGTAGACGCGTTCCGCGGGGTCGAGGGGTGTGTCACTGTCCTGCTCAGGAAATGGCTCGCTAGTGGTCCGCATCGTGAGTTGTCGCCGCTGTTGGGCACAATTCTGCTGCAGCAGCTCTTCCAAGTCAGTCTCGTTTTCTTCGTATTCACATAACTCGTGCAGGAGCTGCACGGCCAAGTCGAGGTTTAGAGAGCTCACCATCTCACCTCCGACAAAGTGGCCGTACATAGCTCGCAGCCGCCGCAAATTGGCAGTGAGCACCCGCACCAAGTCATGCTTACGAATTCGACGCCCATTGAAGGCACCTTCAAGCGCACGGATTGCTTCACGGATAGCGTCCGCCCCAATCTTTAGATTCACAGAAGCGCCCTGAGAATCGTACACCATATTGACGACGCGGTGCATATCCAGAACTTGTGCCTCGGCATTGCGCTCAAACGCCACCGCATCTCCCAAGTCATCGCCAGGAGCAGAAGACCATGAGCTTGAGTCATCACCATTTGCATAATCGGCAACCGGGGAGCTATTACCTAGCTGCTCTTCGCACCAATCCTTGAACGCCGTCACAGGCATAGACGGAAACGCAAAGAGGTGATGCCCTATCGCGTACAGTTGGTTTACTTGCGGCACTGCCCGTTGGGAGCGGATAAGCCCCACCATGTCACCTTTATTTTCCTCCGTACCACAAATGATGTAATCTGTCAAGATACCGTCTCGGAAAGTTGGATCCGGCAGTTTCTTAGTGGTCCCTGCCAAAAAGGGGACGAAGTCAACGACAATGGAGACGACATTCTTGAATATTGTTTCAAAATAAGGTCTGTCGCCGTCGTTCGTGGGTAAAGGGCTGCTCAGCTGTTGCTGCAGTCTCTCGAGACGCCCCAAGTAAACGTTACTGCAGGAAGAAACCATATGTGATAAATTGCGCTGGAGTAGCGGAGCGCCCATTCGTGCACATGAGCGAAGCAAATTATCCCACATGACCTTCACTCGTTCCTTTCCCCCCATCGCTAGAGAGAGGGAAGCTTTGCTGTCACTCAGCCGCTTACTAAGGTCTGCCAAAAGAATGACATCTACGAGCTGATCAAGCAATGACTTGGACACCACCCGTGGTTGGCGGTAAACCTCAAGGTACTTGGATGTCATGACCACAGCATGCCGGCAACGCCGGTGGTACTCGTCAGTTGTCGTTACACTCAACTCGGGTGGTTTACCAGCATTCACTGTTTCCTCGTCGAGTGTAATGGCAATGCCAGAAACGTAGTCCCCAATATATTTTATGTACAACGAGTCATCAGATGACGACCCTGATCGTTTGAAATCCTCGGCAACTTCCACAATCTGCCGCTGCACACTCCGCAAGAAGTCCTCATGTACGTACCGGTACAGGTACTGCTCCACGCGCTCTGTGTCTCGCAAGTTTTGGCCCCACTGAAATGAGAAGGAGAATGGCTTTTTAATGCCCAGCAGGTCGCCAATCTCACGGCAGACGGCGACGCAGCTAGGGTTCATCGTGATCCAGCCCTCAATGCGTGGGTCGCGCCACACGTGCGACTGTGTCATCTTCATGATGTCGCTTGATTCAGCAACGCTGAATCGGACGTGGCCCAAAATGTCACGCGAGATCCACACCTGCAGTACAAGACTGCCCGTCGTCGGGTCGTACTGCGGACCGGTGCGTGTGTGTGAGTCGGCGGCAGCCACCATGACTGTGTACCGCCGTGGAATCTCCATGTCGCCGCCGTACGCATGCACAACCGCGGCGATGGTGTCAATGGCAACGTCCACCGCCTCTACTAAGTATTGCATTAGGTCATCTGGAATATCCCTCAACTTCGCCACAGCTAGTGTGATACTCACACCGAGTATCCTTTCCGCCACCGTTGTACGTCGCTGGGCGACCCGAAGAACATTTTGATCACGGTTGTACGTCGAGTACCGTTCAATTAGTCGCGTGATGGCAGTGTACCAGCGGTCACGCTCCGTTACAGAGTTGAGTCGGAACTTTACGTTGCGGCCGCGTCGGAGCTGCAACACGAGGCCGAAGTACTTATTCTGCTTTCCCCCTGAGAAGATAACGCCGCGCACCTCAGAGGCGGGAAACTTCGCCTGCGGAAAAGGCTCCTGATCGTTTTTGTACACCTCGAGGCGGCCTTGCGTTTCGTCTACCACCCAAAAGCGTTTCTTATACGTCATCAGGGATGCGCGACCCTTCTCCTGTGCACAGCGCACAACGCCCATGACGTTATCTTCCTGCTGTGCTTGCTGCTCCATTCCTATATATTTCAACGAAGGGATGAGCCTTGATCTCGTCGCTTTTACTCAGTGTGGTGTGGGCACATCAAGCAAAAAAAAGTCACAGCAGCACGCATATACACACACACAGAGAGAGAGAGAGAGAGAGAGAGAGTAGGGGGAAAAAAACCTAGATGATCTATAATGGTGCAAGACAAGTTTGGTTTGCAGTCTCACATCATCTCCCCGCAGACGCCCGGCTCCCATCCCTTATAAACTCTCATTTAAGGTTCTTCTTCGCGAACAGACGTGTGCGGCGCCTAGTCGGCTGCGTGAATGCTGTCACCGCCTCCAGCGTCTCGGGTGTGGCGTACGTCGCCTCGAACCGCCGCCATTCTGTAACAATAGGTGTCAACAGAAACTCTCCCCACCGTTTCATCTGCTGCACGGCGTCAAAGCTCGCCGCATCGTCGAAACCACCCATCTCACGTAACAACTCAGGCCGCTCCCGCTCCAACATCTCGCGCAAGACGGTGCGCACCCAATCCACAGAGGATGGCTCATACTCACCTGTGCGTTGGGTGGGCACAAGCACAAATGAGGTGACAGCACTCACCGCTTCGCCCCAACGTGCAATGGCTGGTGCAAGCACCTCTGGCATCCGCTCTGGTGGTGACGCAAGGACGCCGCTGTTCGATGCCGCCTTTTCCTTCCATCGGAGTGCCTCGTACTTGTACTCGTCCCATACTGAGTCCAGAAGCTCACGATACATTTGCCGGAGTGCAGCCGCCTCCGTCTCTGTCTCCGTCTCGTCAACAGGGTTGCCAGCTTTACGCAGGTTCTTTTGAACCGCACGGAGGAGTCGTCGCTTAAGGGCAAGACGACGAGCCCATGCCTCGTCAACTTTCTCCAGCAGCTTGTAGCGCTCCGCCATCGAGAGGGCAGCCCGTGACGAGGTGGTGAAGGAGCGAATGCATGCAACACGCAGCGCATCTGCGCGGCAAAACTGCCCCTCCTTCTCCTCCATCTTTGCATACTTTTCCCATAGGGAGAAGTCAAGCGGAAACTTTTTTATGGCGTTTTGAAGAATATCGCGGCATCGCTGCACGCGATCCTCGCGGGAGATCTCGCCTGCCTCATGGGCCTTCTCTTCAAGCTGCAGCGCCGCATCAAATACGTTGGAGCATGGAGAGACATTCACTGCGGCGCTGAGCAGCTTGCGTGCCTGCTGGTACGCGCCGTGGCGCTGTTCAAGCGCGGATGCCTCCACCCACAGTCGAGGGCACGTCGCCAGGGAAAAGGGAAAATCGCGAATGCAACTCGCCAACGCTGCACGTGCGGCGGCGAGATCGCGGTCTTCTACAAGACGTGCATACTCCATCACCACAACCGCTCGTCGTTGTGCCGCTGCTGCATCCTTACAACCATCAACATGTGTGTTTGCTGCAGCCGTGAGACATTTCACTGACTCATCTTCTAGGGCATTCCGTTCCGCGCTATTACTACACTGTCGTGCTGCACTACACAGAAGAAGATACTGCGAGACATATGCGTCAAAGTCACAGGGGTCGCGGGCAATGCGCTGCTGGTACATCGCCTTGGCCACAGCAACAGCCACCACCTCGTAGTTTGCGGCATCCCCGTGAAGCCGCTCAAACAGACTGTAGGCAGCAAAGATATTGTCAAGCGCAGCAACATACGTACAGTCGCGCAACAGTCGGTGGTACACATCGCGCGCCTCATCAAACTTCTTCGCCGCGGCAAGAGCCTCCGCACATGCCAGGGGGACACGACAGTCCTTCTCACCGTTGGTGTACTCCTCCGGCAGGGAATCTATCGCAGTCGCATACACCTTTACCGCACGCTCTGTGTTGCTCAGCACATTTAACTCAGTAGCACCGTAGAACAGCCAAGCCTCCACTGTACCATGCGCTTCCACATAGCGCCGCATAACGTCTCTGCAGGCGTCTGCACGCTGCTGTTGGGCCTCAAAGAGTGCAAAGAGTTCCCATGCACAATTGGGCGGGGTTGGCCCTGACAGCCAGCGGTTGAACACGTCACGTACTCGGCTTTCCTGCCCCACAGCCTGCTCCAGCACGAGATACTTCAGCCAGAGGTCTACGGCGGCCGGCAGTGCGGTGACTCCCCGATCCCAGACGCCCCTCGCATGGTTGACGAACCCGTACTCCTCTTCCAGCTCGGCGTAGTCGCGCCACAGGACAGGGTTAGTACCGTGGAACTTCACAGCACGCTCCAGCACACTGCGCATGCGTTCAAAGTCTTTCTGCTGTGCCTCCCAGCGCGCATACTTCACCCAATTGCCAAGCAAACTGTAGCCACGCTTGACGCGCTCCTCCAAGTCTGTGCGCGTCTTCTGTCGGTAGAGGGCGAGCTCCTCTGGACTGTTGATCACAACACGCGTGCTGTCGTTGCCGGGGTCCGCCATGCGCTGCATCTCCTGCGCGTCGGCAATGAGCTGCGCGGCGGTTAGCTGCGTTGACGATGCACGAGCATCACGGAAAACAGGACGGCGGCGCAGCGCAGCCGCTGCTGGGCCCATGTACTCCTTCTCACGCCTTCCACGTTTCATGATGGCCTACAGAGGAGAAAGCGAGAAGCGCAGGCACCCCCCCCC